CATTCAAATGCTTTAAAAATTCCATTTACAAGACAATTATTTATAATAAAATTCTATTCAATCATAGACTCAAGAACGATTGAAAACAATGTTTTTTGAATTGAGTTTGAGTTTGACCAATTCGTAAAAAAAAAAAATTGAAAAACTTATTTATATTTTTTTTTTTTCAACCTTAAACAATAATCCAACGATCTCTACTGATTGTACAATACAAACATCGGAATAAATTCTTTTATTATTGAAAAGATAATGAAATCTAAACATACATGAGTCCTTGGAAAAAATAATAACCGGAACAGGAAACTACTTTAAATACACATATTTTCCAATTTTTTTACTGTATTTAAGTAAAAATCATAAATTGAAAAGATTATTATATATTAAAAAATACTAAATAAATGAATAAGATTTGTTAGATCATAATTAATAAACCCAAATAAAGTTAATATTTTTTTTATTAGAAACAACGAGTGGAAAATATATTCAAATCAGAATTCTAATTATGAATCACCACAAGCAAAAATATGAATTTTTTACTGTATTTTTTAAGTAAAAATCATAAATTGTAAAAAAAAAAATTACTTAAAATTTAGAATAAACATTTTTCAAACTAGATTTCAACAAAACTTCAATAAAATTTTTTTTTTTACAGGAGACAGTTTCTTATTATATTATAAAATTTTTTCTTTATTTTTTATTCAGAATGTAAAATTAAAATTCCATTTACAAGACAATTGTTTATAAAATTATTCTATTCAATGGAGACATCAGGCATGATTGAAAACAATGTTTTTTTTGAGTTTCTGTTTAATTTTTATTCTAAAAAAAAAAAAAAAAAAAACAAAAATCTACCACAATGCGTGTCTACAATTCTAACAACCATATCAATTTTAGCAATGAGGAGAAGGTAAAAAATATATTTGAAATATATATAAATATATATATATATTTTAATATATATATTTTGATGACAATATATTAAAAGCTTATTATATAATTATAAATAATAATAGAATATTTGATATACCTTGTAGTTATATATTATATATATCTTGTTTATTACATATAAATATATTATATATATATATATATATATATATATATATATATATCATATATAAATATAAGATTATATATATATAAAAGTGTTTATTCAATTTTTCTTGTATTTTATAATTTTATTTGATTTATGGACATAAATTATATAGAAATTTTAAATATATTTCATCTGTATACATTTTATATTATATTATATTTAGCCATTATATAAGATATATATCATTTATTTATATTTAATATAAAATATATTTCTTATATATATATATATATTATTATATTTATATTTTATTTTTATTAACATTATATATATATTATTATGTTTTATAGTTGATATATATTATATAGTGTATATTTTTTTTCTTATATAATAATATATATATATTTATATATTAAAATAAATATATATGCATATTTATATATATATATATATATATAATTATTGTAATTATATATATATTATTTTTAAATATAAAATAAATATTACACACAAATAAATATATATATATAAACATATATATATATATGAAACTTAAAATCATAAATAGTAATAAAAAAAAATTAAAAATCTTAAATTTTAGAAACCTTTTAATGAAAAATGATAATTAAGAAAATAAATAGAAAAAAAAATTATTTAAAAAAAAATATTACATAAACTATAACCAAACTTGTATTATGACATTTTAGCCAGATTGTTGAAATTTTTTTTTCAAATTTTCAGCTACATTTTTGACGATATGATTTAACTACCACCGTGTTTGATCAAGAATATCATTTTTCCACCAGGTAAAGAAATTTTTTCATCTATGTATTGTACAAACAGGAAAATAATTAAATTTTCTGAAATATATTTCGAATTATACATTATTTTTTAAAAAACACCAATATTGTGTTGAGCATAAAAGTTAAGCAAATTTTTACTATTTTATATTTTTATGGTGGCCGCTTGAAAATTCCAGGTTTATTACTAAATACCGATGGAAATAATAAAATCAAAAAAAAAAGAAATTTTGTACTTTTAGTCCAGATTATGAACATGAAGCTATTTGTTACTGTATTGAATACACCTATTTCACATAAGCATTTCATAGAAATTTTCTTAAATATTTCCATTTTATCCTCAATTTTAGTAGCAGATCAAATTGAATCCAGAAGGGTTGCCCTTTCAATTTGCAGCAGTCAGATGCCATTATAGAGGAGAGAAATAATTTCCCAAGGATATATCAAACAACTGGATATTATTGATTGACCTTAAATTGTTTCAATTGGAGATTTTAATTATCAGGAAAACATTTTATGTTGGGTTTATTCCATCAAGATATTTAAGACATGAACACTATTAGAGTAGAAGAGGCAGCTACATTTAACAGTTTTAACAGTGAAAGGGTGAACAGCGGATGCCAGCCTCATAGGACGATTGAATTTGCAAAGTCTTGGGACCAGTGAAAACAACTCATCAGAGCAATTACCATGAAAGTATTTGTAAAAAAAACAGAGAGGAGGCAACTGATGTCTGTGAGAGAGCGACTGCAGACGAGATGCCAGATCACGGTCCATTATATTGCATATCCGTCTTTGGATTTTATCAATACCCCCAATGAGACAACAGAAGGGGCTCCAGACCATATATGGCAGGCAATACTCCATGCAAAATAAATGGTTGATTTGTAGATTTGAATTGACTCGATTCTTTGTTTTAGAAAAAATTAAACATTTTTCAGCTAAGGGGGCAAAACAGGTCAGTGGATGAAACAATTGACTCAATATATTTATTCCATCTCAGGTCAAAGAGAACAGACCAAACAGAGAGAGGCACTCTGGAAAATTGATCGTCAGACATTTTAATGAGGGGGGGGGCTCTCTGGTGATTAATAGAGAAATGTTTTGTTCTGGTGGCGTTAAAGCTTCCAAAAATTATGGCCCCAGTCTCAACCTATTGGAGTTCCTTTTTCAAGATTTGAACAGCCAGGTTAGTTTTTGTCAACGATTTTAGATTTGTTTTGAGGCAGGAGTAAATTGTAGTGTCATTAAACATAGATGCTAACCTGGGGAACCCAATGACATCCAGGAAGATCGTTTATGAAGATAAGGAACAGAAAAATTGTAGGATGGAGCCTTGGGAACACCTGCGTTCGTGGGATAGGAGCTGGAGGAGAATCCATTAAGATTTTTGTTCAATTCAATTATTTTGACAAAAATGATTGTATTGTCAAACAAAAACCCTATTTATGCCATTTTCTCTTTCAGACAAATGTCATCTATTTTAGTACAGGAAAACAAACTTTTTTTCAACAGAAAAGTTCTTCCCTTGAAATTTAATATTAACAATCAGACTTTAAAAATAATTTTAATTTTTTGTATCTGCAAGAGAAAAAAAGGGGTTATTTTATAATTGGTTTCCGCGACAAATTTTGAGCAGGAATAAAATTGAAACAAGCAGACGATAATAAAAAAAAAAAATAATGGTAAAATCAGTTTTGGTTTATTTTGTCCAGCAAAAAATGGACGTTTTTTATTGCAACTTCGTAATATTTCTTTTCCTTAAAAAATTGAAAAAAATATATTTCTGGTGTCATAAAAAGAGAAAACACATGAATACGGAATTTATATATCTTTTGTTTCAAATGGAAATCTCTCGGATTTGGCCAAACTTCGAATTTACTTCAGTTAACTTCCAAAGAGAAAAAATTCATTTCTGTCTGAGAATTGGTCAAGTGCTGAGGGAATCAAGAGGAGTCAAGTTAATTTTCCGCCAAAATATGGTTATGTGTTCTCGAGCCGAGCACGTGATCAGGAAATTACTAAGTTTGACACAGGAGCGCTTCTCGAAAGCGAGGGCAATCAACTCATCAAACAAATTTATGTCTCGTTTATTCGTTCTAACTTAAAACTAAAAGCTAATTCTTAGCATAATCTCAGCTACCAGAAGATTCACTCACTCACACACAACAGTGAGCATTGTGACTTCAACGTTTTTATATGAACTTTCACTCCATGCAGAAGGTTAAATCTTTTCCTATCCCAGCATTCCAGACTTCTCACTCATCCACACAGCAGTTTCCATTGCTTTACCTGCCAGTGGATAACTCAACATTCACTCACCCAATGATCATCATATATTCGCGCTACTGAGAAATTTACAAGCACCCAATTGCCTCCTGAATTTATGATTCTCAGGTTAAAGGTTTCTTCAGAACATAATTCCAGCCTGCAGGAAAAAAAAAAACAAACACCTACTCACCAATTCGTATAGTAAATTATAATTATTTTTTAAAAGTGAGTTCATTAAAAAAGTTATCAACACTTGGTAACTGAAATAACTATATTTAAATATGTTTATAATCAATTCAACAGCACTTTCTAAACAAAGGAATACAATCAAAGGGAGACAACTTCTGAATAACTGTGAATCGGAAACTAATTTCCATCTAAAATTCAGCTCCCAAAAAACTGTTTAATTTTATACCCCCTTTAATATTTATTCAACTTACACAATTTTCATCCAACAATTTATTCAATACACATACTTTCCACAAAACTTTCTTTGCTATATCAAACACCCTAGGAAAGGAAGTTGAACCAAATTTACACATCCACAAAAAAAAAAAAACAAAACAAAAAACAGTTGTACACAAATTCAAATTCAACAATAATTCCAATTCAACACAACTTCTTATTGCATTGATTTGTCGAATTTGTTATTTCTCTTGTTTGTTTATTGTTTTAAAACACAGTTGTTGAAAGTAAAAATAGTAGAGATTGAATTGAAGCCAGTTTAACATTTATAAATTGGTTAACCGACATTCAATCACCTACAGGTTAAGAGAATAGTCAAAAGTATATTAAATATTTGAGCGGGAATCTAATAAAGATTGACATTTTATTTGACTTACCTTCATCGCAACCATTTCCCATCCATCCATCAGCACATTGACATGGTGCAAATGTGCAGTACCACGGATATTTACAATGGCATCCTTCTCTGCAAGATGTTCCATTACGTCCATGTGGACATGCTAAAAATGTAAAAGAATTTCTCTTAAATTATCAATGACTTCTTCCAATTCATTACAACAAAAAGAAAAGACATTGATGTTCATAAAATTCAACTTCTATTGGATTTGCAAATGATTCATAGAAAAGGCCACCTTTTAATAAACCAGCACTGCATGCTACCGAGTCCGCAACAGGATTACAAAACGTTTTTATAACAACGAGATTTACATTTATATTTGCATAAAGATGTCCAAGTATAGGGGTCACTTCCCTTTGACAGAATTTAAAGTCTTTACTAATGCAATATTTTTTTTATCTGAGCTCATAAAAAGTTGAATGAACTTGCCACTCAAAATGATCACTGTGAGTGTTGAAAGAATTCTGTAAAGCTGAGAATATGTTGAGTAAACTTTTAGCTTTAGAAGAGTTGAAGGAGATGTTTCGTAATGTTTGTAATTAAGCTTCCATTGTTTGTGATTTTACGTAAGTTTTGTTCCGTTGCATGTAGTTGAATATTCGTAATTAATTTGTAATATTTGTAATGTAGTTTTCATGAAAGTTTCCTCTGTGTATATGTGCATGTGAATGTGTTTCTCATAGCGTCCGTCCGCCAAGGGGTCGAGACACAGTTTCTTTTACTGTTACATTTTACATAAGCGAATGAAATCAAGAGAGAAGGACGAACTTGTGTTTGGTATTTATAATCAACGTAATCACGTGACAGGTTCGAAAGGCAGTGATAGATTTTGGGCGAAATTATTTTTTAGTCAGGTCAAGAACTAGATCGATGTTATTCGAACGTAGTTGAGAAAATGATTTAAATATTAAGTGACCAATCAGAAGTTGAGGTTTTCTGAAAATATGTATGAAACTGAATAAGCTCTGTGATCCGCTTTTAGCACAGGTTTGCACAAAAATTGAGACTGATAAAAAAGTCGTAGCGTGGTGCTAAAGTTTAATTGAAAGAATTTGTCCTTTTATTTTTTTAATTAATACTTATTAATAATAATTTTTTCTATGCACGTTGTTCAAATTGATATATTTTTACATTTTTCATTTTATAATTTCTTAGCAAATGAATGTTTAGCATTTTCCTCTTTTCAATCTGATCAATTATACGTTTAAATTGTCTTGTCGCAGTGTGCCCAATCACCACTCCCACCTTTTTGTAAACAACCCCGGATATGCCTTGTGTGCTAAAAATAGCAAAGACATCCTTTCAAACTGACAGAAACACAAAAAAATTTTCGCCACTAAAAAAAAAAAAGACCTTTAATTTTGAACCGAAATTAATTAAATACAGTCAACAAACACCGAACACACTTTTGACTGTAATTAATAATTAACCCGAAATTAATTATATTCATTTACTTATTTAGCGTCACCGCTTCTCTTGTATGAACAGTCATATCTAGATCCCCGAGACTTCAAAGCGGTTTTTGGGTGGCCAAAACAGCCCGGCCTACGGGCTTTACACCATGGCAAAGTCTATTTGGACCGTATCAGGACCTGCTAAGACAAGCCAAGACTAATTTGGACCAGTACTTGACTAAGCGCCTTCCAGCTTGGACATGTGTAATACCAAAACATTGATAAGCCTTGACCAGCTTGGATATGTTAAACCAATCTTTGACCAGTAGCCCCATGCGGAAACGCTTGGGTTTTCCACGAAAAATGACCTTGTGTCACGTCTTGACCCCGTGGGAGTCAAGTAATCCCACGAAAACGACCTTGTGTCACATCTTGACCTCGTAGAGGAAGTAAATACCGCCGGCTAGGGAGCAGTCCGGCCTTCGGGCTGGTTGCGACCATGGCAAAGTCTGGTTGGACCATATCAAGACCTGCTAAGATAAGCCAAGACCAATTTGGACCAGAACTTGACTAAGCTTTGACCAGCTTTGACATGTTATGACCAAAACATTGACTAATCCTTGACCAGCTTGGCGGTGTTAGACCAATCTTTGACCAGCCTGACCCTATGCGGAAACGCTCGGGTTTCCCAAAAAAAAAACGACCTTGTGTCACGTCTTGACCCGTGGGAGCCAAGTAATCCCAAGAAAACGACCTTGTCACATCTTTGACCTCATGGAGTCAAGTAAATACCGCCGGCCAGGGGGGCAGGGAGCCTTCCTGAATCGCGACTTTGACGCTCCCAGTCAAGTCGACTGTGCCCAGCAGCAGTTGTTCAAACAGTCCTTTCAAGGCTAACTTCCGAAAGTCATTCGATCACCACTCTTCGAAGCTCCACTCACTTCACTCTCTGCCACTGCTTGCCCTCTGAGACGCCAGCTCACTCCTTCAGCTTCCAGCTCACTCCAGCAGCTTCCTGCAGTCTCCAGCTCACTCATGCAGCTTCCAGCGCACTCCTGCAGCTTCCAGCAGTCTCCAGCTCACGCTTCCAGCAGCCTCCAGCTCACTCCAACAGCTTCCAGCGGCCTCCAGCTCACTCCTGCGGCGCTTTACTGACATTCCGCTACCTATTCCAGCACCCGCTGACGCCTGACGATCTAAGCCAGTGCCCACTGACGTCCAGCGACCTGATCCAGCGCCCGTTAACGTCCGGATACCGTTCCCGAACCAACGACCTCTGTTGCCTTACCATCCACCGTTCAAAAATAAAGGCACGATTTCTATCGTCTACAACGTCTTCTTTACTAATGCTATCTCCTTGCCTTTGTGTCCACCTTTTTAGTTGTACGGTCGATTGGCACTCACACCTCTCGGCCCACTGCAACAGTCTTTTTCTTTAAGATTAATAAAATGTCTTTTATTTACTTTCATTTTCTCGATGCAATTCTAATGTGAATGCAACTTGATGACTTTCCCCTTTTCTTCAATATTATTGCTTATTTCTTTGGTCATTTGTAATTTTGTCTCGTCTAAACTCAAAATATATTTTGCCTCTGGTTCTTGTTCATTTTCAAATATTTTCATTGTGCAATTGTCTGAAAATAAAACTTTCTGATTTTCTACTCTTCAGTTTCATCAACAACTTAATGGGCCATTTATTTATTTCTCTCTTTAAGACAGAAAATAAACCTTTTTTTGTCTTTTCAATATCATCTCAGATTGGTTTCAACATTTGTTACTTTATTTTCAGAATGTCCATCTGGCAAATTCGGTGATAAATGTCAGAAGACATGTCATTGTACTGACAATTCCAAATGTAATAAAGGAGACGGGCGATGTCCTGATGGAAAATGTGAACATGGATACACAGGAGATAACTGCCAAACACGTAAGGAATATTCACTAAAAAAATTCTGTCTTTTTTGTTTTTTGACTTTGTTTCTGTCTTTTTTGCCTTAAGAAAAATGCGAAAGAAAATGAAATATACAATGAAGGGCAACGTTTAATTTGAAGAAAACAAGTCAATGTCTTATTGTTTATTTTTATTAGAAGCTTATTCTTTTATCTTCTATTTTAATTGGTCTACATAGATTTTATAGAAATGTCCATGAAAATGGATGTCATTGAAAATATTCTTCACCCTCTGATGCCTTTTTGGTAACAATTGTTTTCTTTCTCTTTATAGCACAAAATACTATCATGGCGTGAAATTTAACAAAGGAAATAAAAACCGAATCTTTTTTTTTAATCAACAAAGTTCTCTCCCAGCACTTTTGATAATGATAATAATAATATAATGATCTAACGAGATGTTGGGTAACTAAATTATTATTATTATTAATACTAAATTGTAAAAAACAAAAATAAAAGTAAAAAGACTCTTTAAATTGATTAAAGTGTCATAGAGTGGAATTTGTTGCGGAGGTGTGAAGGTGTTAAAAAGTATCAGGTTTTAATGATGAGAAGGGTGTGTTCAATAATCTTCCATCCACACCAATTAATACAAGACAGAAAATAATAATTCAAAACTTAACAATTGAATTTATTGGTCTTAGTGTACATGTACGTAAGCTGAAAGGTTTGACAGAGTTATGTCTCTTAGATTTGAAAATATTTTTCCTTGAGCTCATAAAAAAAGAAGTAATTATTAAACTGTAATTTAGAAGAATAAGTTGTTGCATGTTAGGAATTGTCTGTTGGACCAAAAGAGTTCAGAATTGTACTTGCGTGAATGTTTAACGTCTGACCGCATTGGTCAAGACCGGAGTCCTTGAAGGTCACATTTTGGCAGCAAGGGATGAGACGTGAGAGCGAGTAAAAATATTTATTACTGTAAAAGTACAGCAAATGTGGCACAAGGCCAAAAAGGAGTTGAGGAAAAGGATGGTCATCATTTGTCTTAATTTGAAACTTAGCTAGCCACAAACACTGACCCAAACATACAAAACAATATTCCTAACACCAAAAACAACACATTTATACATACCTTTCATTCATCCAATAAAATACCTTATTGTCTCAATGAAAATCCTAAATAGTCCCCATTTGTACAAATCATCATCTGGGGGGAAGGAATAAAAACAACAAGTTAAAAAATCCCCAATGTATATGTACAATATGAATAAAATTATTTACAAGAAACTAAACAAAATTATGTTAGTAATAACCTCCTCCTCCAAACCCTTAAATGTGGCAGAAATATCAGTTAACTGGATGAAATCGATGCAGGATTATAAAAATATAGAAACATTCATTCATCCAAGCACTCACACAGACACACACTCATTCTGACACAACAACAAATACGAAAAATACACATGCGAAATGAAAGGCGCACCACATCCACCAGAGAACTAACATCACTGACCACCTAACGAGGGAGGGGATGGGGAGTTAAACTAAAGGAAAAAGGGACAGAAATAAAAGGGCCAATGAGCAAACACACCCCAGCTAAGTTGACTTGAATAAAAAGAAAAATAAATATTCAAGAACAAAACCTAAACTAACCTAAATTCAGGATGGGTTGCCCAAGTTCAACCCAGGAAAACAAAATCCTGATGCCTAACCGCATCAAAATGCCACTCCAGGTCAACCCCTTTTACTCAGTACAAATGCGCAAGATTCACCCACCTTTTGCCAAATTCTGATGAGGGAGCCATCCGCTTTTCCGTCCTAATCTTGACTTTAAGATGATGCTTAAAGAACAAGATCACTTGGAAAGAAGTGAACTTCCGCCATCATAAAATTCCTTGTGACGTGTCGTCCAAATCACGACTCTCATAACACCTAGTAAGCAAAAGAACACATATTGTTCAGCCTTCTTCATCTGTGGCACCACATTGCTACAATCAAAATTGGCCTCAAGGACAAAGAACTTTCCTTGCAGCATGCGGACCATGAGGCCTTCAACAAACTTGCACAACGGAGCTACCACCCTGCAATAAAAGAAGGTGTGACCAATGGTCTTGACTTCCCCATCACAGTGTCAACAGTTTGAAGATTTCCCAAGCCCACTGAACAAAGTCATTTGGCGACCCAGAGGGCCCCACGAATCACCAGCCAAGTGAGTGATCATCGTTATTGAGGTCATTTCAACCCAGGCATCCATATTGAGCGAGCCTCCCGATTCGCAAAACCGAGCTCATCAATCAGCTCCTCATGAATGGACTCCTGACTAATACTTGATATGATGCCCTGACGTTGGAGAGGCAATCCGACGCCCGTAAGAGGCATTCCAGAGCACAACAATATTCGCGGTAGAAGGAGCATTCAGCCTGCAAACGGTGGGCCTCCTCCTCATTTCGAGTGCACACTTCTCAGGGGATGGGAAGTTTTTTACGGATATCTTCCTTCCAGAAGGCACCCTCCTCATCCGATTTGCAACACATTCGGTCTAGGGAAGGCGATGCAAGCATATATTGACGAATCTCAATGCTAGGCATATCTAGACTGCCTTCAGATGGATGAAGGCAACAGATCTCCTTGCCTCTCCACAAGAAAGAGAATGAGAGCCTTACAATGACATTAGTGTGGCATACGGAAGAGTCAGGGGGTAATGGAGAATCGGGTATATGTGTGAAAACATACTTCCACTATCCCCTTCAAGGAAAGATTCCTCTGAAACCAAAGGTTAACTGTGATCTCGGCCTCCCCTTGTACCTCCGATCAATTCATTTCCAGCTGGAGATCAGAACTGAACCAGACACGAGTATCTTAACCGCCCATCTGTCCAGAGGAAAGGTCTGGGAAGAGAATCTCCTCTCCACGCAAGACAACCGGGGAAAACAGATTTATTCTTTGATCTGGGCCCCTGTCCAATCTCATAACCACTGATTTCTTTGCTGACTTCTGTCAATCTCGGCTTTGCTCGACACAACCGAAACGTCATCAGCATAGGCAGAATACCTGGGGTAAAAGGTGGTAGCACCAGGTAACGAAATTTTCAAATTTTACCGGATTGTCTTTAATTTACGGTGGAAAGGTTCCAACGCAAGAATGTAATGTGTTTGCGAAAGCAGACAACCTTGACAAATGGAGCGAGGGTCTGTTTATGGAAGGCCCGATGTATAAGGGTTCATCTCCACCAGTGGGAGTTTTCTAAGTCGGATCCTGATGTCGCAAGTATGGCCCGAAACCGGCCACACTGAAAGGACAGCCTTCAGGAAACGATGGTCAACCCTATTGAAGGCATTGACTGATCTAAATTGATCAGCGCAGCTTCATGAACTTGTTCTAATGATCTAACCTTTTTGTCAAGAGATAGATCCCTTTCATCCAGTTGTTGTAAATCAGTTCCAGCAAAGAAACAAAAATGGGCAACTGCCTCAAAAAACTTCAACACTTTTTTTCATAGATGATGTTATAGACAAGGTATGGTTGCAAGAAATCTGAATACGACAACAGTAGAAATAGATTTACGTGATTTATTTCAATAGGAACGTTGGTTTGGAGACAGCTACCTCCACTATAGGAATTCATAGGCCGGCTGGGTTGATTTTCCGGCAGTAGTTCTCGCTGAGTTGGTGTAGCGCTACCATCAAGCTGGCTGCTGCTGTCACAGTTGTCACCATGAATCAGCTCTGACCCTGGCCTCCTGTTGACTGCCTTTACAAATTAAGTAACCCTTTTATGACCATTTTTATGGCTTAACAGGCTCATGCAAAACGACGGAGTATAATTAGAGGGACCTTTTATTGGTTGAAAAATAGAAACAACTTTAAAATATTATTTTATTTTTCGACCAGAACTCACCATTCAAATATGTGTAAATGCGTAAATATGGTCATTTTGTGACGGGCCTTGTCCTATTCACATCCGGCTCTCAAATTGAGTATGTTAGTTTATTTGCCTGCAAATCAGCCAAGATATATCTTATTTTATTTTATAACAAGACCATCTAGTCCCAGAGATTTATCCAGGTCACCTTGTTTCTGCTCTTCCCAGATTTCCTACTCTGTGATGGGACCCTCATGTCAGCCGACCAGCTGCCTCAAGGCAGAGAAAGTCGGCTAAAAGGGTCATTAGACTGGGCTCCTGTTGAACAGATCCTAGCTCCCAGCATATTGCCAAAATATCACACCGGACACTGTGAATGGCTATTTTGGTTCTTCTTAGTCCCTAAATATTCTGTTTTGTAGTGAATAGATTTTGTGGCTATGTTCTTCCAGCCAACTTGATCTTCCTCTGTGGACAAGAGGATATCCCATAGAGGTTAGTCATTCTTGTTAGAATTTTGGGTCCAATTTGGAGGCATTTTCAGTCTTCTCCCATACTCTCTGCTGACACCAAACTAATGTCTGTGTCCCCATCTGTTGTCAGCCTAGCTTTGACTGCATCGATCAACCCTGGAATGGTTATTAACTCATTTCCTTTGATGTAGGCATCGTATTTATCCTTTAGG